CATGCCCACAGTGACAACTCTGGGGGCAAGGTGGGCCCTCTCTCCAGGGTTCCCCACCCTCTGTAAGATTCTTGGGTCTCAAAGAACAGCTCTTTTCAGATCTTGTACCCTACACAGCACTGATTCTACTCTTCCTCTTAACCTTGTACAGGACTCATTGGATTCAGCCTGAAGATGCCAACACCAGGTCCCAGCACCAAGGAGAGAGCCTGAGGGGTTGTTTTCACATTTTCATCATTATTTTTATTTATGTGTGTATGTCTGTGCATGAATATGTGTATAAGAATCCTTGGGAGCTAGAGTTGCAGGCAGTCGTGAGCTGCCTCAGATGGGGGCGCTGGGAATCAAACTTGAGCCCTCGGAAGAACAGTACACTCTCTTAACCACTGAGTCACCTCTCCACTTATGATGGGTTATTAATAGGCACAATGTGCTGCAGATCAGCCTTGCTCCAGGCACAATGATGCCCATCAGTATGTAGCAGACACTCAGGGATTCAGATAGAGTCCACTGCAGACCTTGGTACCCTCTCTTAAGTTCTAGAAGCTAGGCACCATCACTTGCAAACAGGAGCCTGTTACTCTTTTCCATGTTTATAACTGGCCACCAGTTATATTGACTTTGACTCCATTCCTGTAAGGTCATAGCCGACTCCCACCTCCTCACCAGAGGCACGGCAGTGAGCACCCACACTTTGTCTAAGGCTGCACATACCCTAACCACCCCCAAAACATCACTAATACTTGACAGGAGTACAGTGAAGTTCAGGCCAGAAGACCACCCACTTCCTCATTCAGTCGCCCACTCAAGGATGCACTAGTCCAGGATAAAGGGTGTCAGTCACACAGTGATGGAAGAAGGCAGGACTCAAGTTGGGGGACATGGTCCCCGTTTCCAGTTATCAACGTACAGCCAGCAGGTGACTTGAGGTAGGGCTCCCATCACAAAGACCACCTTTCTCAGGAAAAGCCTGGACATCCTCTGCCACCCGAATATTCTCAGTCCCAAAGCATCTATTGAGAGCTGTTTTTGAGTCCCAGTTCTAACACTCACAAATCGTTAAAGCTGGACCCAGGCTTCCTGTGTGAAACAGAGACCTCTGTAGATTGTCTCACCAGGGGACACTCAGACAGCAGTCACTGTCACAGGTCCTGAGATTCCCAGACAAGCTCCACAGATGTAAGTTTGTTCCCCATTTTTGCTCCTTCATCTGTTGTGGTCATCCAGCAAACAAGCTGGCTCCATACTGAATGGGTCATATGGGTCCCAAAAGGTCACAGCCCATGGCCATTCCAACAGTCAACTGAGGATGTACCCTTCCCAGTACTGAAAGGTGGAGGCCCTGTAGTCATGAGGTCAGTTGATGTAGACACCAGGCTGTCAGATCCCTCCGTCCCTCCACCCCTCAGTCCCTCCGTCCAGGCCTACCTTCCACATAGGGCAGATTCTCAAATCTGACAGAAGAAAGAGGATGTGGGAGAAGACCCTGAGGATCCACTGATCCACACGCCATAGCAAGGAGAAGCCCAGCTCTTACCGTTCCTTAGAACGAGACAGAGTGTCTCCATGGTGCAAGGATTCTAGAATTCAGTTGTTTATTCAGGTCTCTGCCTCGAGTTTGGGACTCACACTGCTGAAGCAGCCTCGGGAGCTTTCCACAGTCATGAAGGGAGGCAATCAGAAACCTCCCTGGAACAGTGAGTGATTCTGGGGCTCTGCGCTGAGCCTGCAATCATGCCTGGCCCGTGACAACGTCTGCAGAGCCCAGCTCTCAGCAATGGCCTTGATGGTGCCCTCACACCTAGCTCTGAGCCCGCGATCTTGTCCCCTGGCTGGCTCCTGACAGCACCTTGTGGTCAGCCTTTGATGCTCCCTTAGTGTTCACCTCAGCCGCCTCTGAGGAGCCCCTAGAATTGTGGGAACCACGATACGACTTCTTCCCGTAGCTGCTGTGAGAGTTGTTTTTGCCCTCAGGTACTGCATTTTCAAGACAGAGCAGGGGAGTGTGTAGGGTGGGGGGCTGGCCTGAGGCTTCTGGAGAAGCAACAATTCGCAGACTTCCAGAATACATGGTGTCTAGGAACACCTCCTCACCCCGAGGTTCCCAGTGTCCACAACTGCAACCCCCTTCTGCTGCACCCCGCTACCAGTGTTGCTGAAGGCACAGAGTGGCCCATTTTCACCCACTGCTGAGGGAGATGAACTGGCATGATCGCTGTAGAGAACTATGTAGTAAAGCAGACGTGTGGAAGCCACAACTGAACCTGCGCCCCTGAAAACAGTCTAGAGGTGCCAGGAGGACGAGACTTCACAGGGGGCTTCAGGAAGCCTTCACGGACACTGTCCACCTGCTGCCTCAGAGAAAGGATACCCAGCAGCCCTGAGCACTGAGCAGTCTACGGCTTCACGCTGACAGAAAGGGCTCAGAATGAAGTGTGTGTGTGTATGTTTGTGTTCTGTTCCCACAGAGACCAGAAGAGGGAGGCAGAGCCCCCACAACTTAAGTTACAGACTGTTATGAGTCACCATGTGGGTGCCGGGGACTGAGCCTGGGTCTTCTGTAGCATCAGCCAGTGATCTTAACTGTTGAGCCATCTCTTCAGCCCCATCTTTTAAAACACTTTCTTCTGAGAAGGAAGAGGGCATTTGACCAATAAAACAAAGGTAGCAAGACAAAAACCAAGCACATTTGGAACCAATTAATGAATCTATTTTATGAAAAATGATTAGGTGTGTATGGGTAGTTTTGCCTGCACATATGGAGGCAGTGATCATGCCAGGAGGCCAGAGAGGGCATCAAAGGCCCTGGAATAGGAGTTACAGATGGTTGTTAGCTGCCACGTGGTGCCAGGTTTGATAACGATGTCTCTATCTGTTGCTGTTTGTTCTCCTACTTGGAAGCCTCACCTGAGGGGACTCAGCTGCCTGGGACTCTACAGGATGCTCAGGACGGCCTCAGCAGTCAATTTCTGCTGGGCGTTTTAAACACCTGATTCAATGGTGCTTATCTTTATCTATATCTATCTATCTATCATCTATCTACCTATCTATTTATCATCTATATCTATCTATATATATATCATCTATTTATATCTATTTATCTATCTATCATCCAACCATCTACCTATCTCTTACTATTTATTCTTTTCCTTTGGTTTGCTATATACTTAATAAATTCATTCATTCAAAACCTAAAGTATGGCTGTCACACATTATTCTCCAAACTATATAAAACAGAACCTTAAGAAGAAACAGACTAACCCTTATTTTGGGTTAAGGCTCTCAGAAACCCACAGATTGTGCAGATGTAAAGTACATGAGGTGTTGACAAGATGTGAAGAACACAATTGACAAGCATGAACCAATTAGCTGCAGCTCAGACTGCTGGTGGCCCTGTTGGAGGAGCAGCAGAGCAGAGAGTGGTTGGTTTCAGGAGATCGGCCCGCCAGAACACAAGGCACTGATGGGCGAATCTCAGATACGCAAGGTCCCAAGGGCTTCAGCTCCAGAATGTCTCTTGTTATTGCTGTGCCTTTACATGTTTGCTGCCGCCATTTTCCTCTGGTATCTGGCACAGTGTGAATGGGTGTCGGGGGATCCCTGCTGCCTTTAGTGGATCATGATTATCTCATGGAAATATCCCGTTCTACTGGCATTTTTACCTGTAGATTATTATGAAGATGATTTCCTCTTAAGCCATACTGTTTACAGTGCTGCTCTCCCCGCTACCCCCCTGATAAAGCAGGGGCTTCAGAGGATAGAAAATAGAACTAAGGAAGTGCCACCCAGCTAGGAGTTAAGATTTTCTCTCGAGGAGCCATATAGACAGTGGTTTAGGCTAATAATTAAGGAAAACAATTAAGTCCCAGGAGTTAGCACAAGTTCTTTCTGATTTGGGAAAATGTGTTCATGGGTTTCAGTATGCATCATAGCTAAACTAAGCTTTAAACAATTGACTTCATGTAACTGAAAACAAAGAATTGATGGTTAGTTAAAATAACTGGACAGGACTCTTCAGTATAAAAAGTAAAACTAGTAACCTGTTTTCCTGGCAATTATAAAAACTATTGCCTATGTAAACAATTATGGTTGAAAGATTTCTGATCTGTGAAAAGTCTTGTTTTTCACCTGCAATATGTAAAGTATTTAATCATGTAAGGGATATGAAAAATATAATTTTTACTTGTATTCATTGCAATCATTCACTTAAAAAATAAAATGTATCCACAGTATAACTTTTATATTGCTTGAAAGATTCTGCTTGGGTATATAAACTGTAAGGGAAAAAAATAAAAGACATGAGAGAAGGAAAACTGAAGAAGGAAAGATGTAGAAGGAAGACATCAGGGAAGATGTAGAAGACGCCAGGGAAGCAGAAGAAGGGAAACATCAGGGTAGAAGAACAGAACAAAAAATAACACAGTAGAGCAAGGACAAAAAGAAAAATAAAGAAGAAGGTTTTATCCCTCAGAAAAGAAGTCTGTGTGTTTCTCTTGCTAGCTCTGCATCTCTATCCCAGACTCTCCAACTTGCAGAAGGCTGGTCCCTCTGCACCAAACTTTGTTCAAAAAAGTGTTTTCAATTCAAAGGCAGATGGAACACTCAGATTGGGAAATTATGCTTTGGTATGTTTTCTAACTCTCTATAGTGATCTTATCACACTTTTCACAGGCAGTTTAAAGTGAAGAGAGAGAGAGGGAAGAGAGGGATGGAAGGAGGGAGGGAGGGAGAAAATTATCCAACTAGACTCTTGAGTCTGGAATTCTGGCTGTGGACTAGCCCCACTGGTGGCCCATAGGGTATTTTAAATGTCCTAACACTCTGACCACTACACAGGTGACAAGACTGAGACCACAAGCCCAGGCCCTTATTCCTGTGCCCCAGTACTAGGAACACCGTGGAAACCTTGAGTCCCCAAACTAGATGGCCTACCTATCCATCTACCCTGACCCCCAGAATCATCCCCAAAGAACAAGGGGGAGAAGGGAGCCAGCTGATGCTCATACAAATTTAATCTCTGCTCTTGGTCTTAAAGTCCAGAATGTTGCTTCCAAGCCACACTCCCCTTCTCCTGGCCACTCAAGACCTCCCTGCAGGACCCATGCTCTCCAGGGACCACTTCATTCCCACCCTGACTCCTGTGGAGTGTGGACATGCAGCCTCACTCCATCAGCTACCTAATGCCATTCAGCAGAGGCAGAGCAGGAAGAGCGGGGGAGGAGCAGTCACAGGTCCACTAGGGGCTGCAGCAGCCAGAGCAGGGACAGGAGGCAGGAGGCCTGGCACGGCCCTAGCAGTGCCGCGTGATTCACTTGCTCCTTGATCCATCTGGTATATTTGGTGAGGCGAGTGTATACACCTGGATTCTGAGGTTTGATGCAGGCCTTCTCCCACGATAACACCCCGGCCAGAATCCATCTTCCATCAATTTCACAAGCCAATGACCCCCCAGGGTGCCCCTAGGCAAAGAAAAAGGGGTGGTGGAGGTTCTGCTGGCACCACAGGACCTACAATGTCCACCCCCTCAGCTCTGCTTGAGAGAATCGCTCCTTCAGGAGCTTGCCAGCTGGGGCCCCTTCGGCTTCTCAGTTGCAGACCACGCAGAAGAATTGCAGCCATTAGCAGTCAAAGAGAAAAGAGGAGAGGAGAGGTTGGTGATGGTAACAGGAAAGAGACCACACCCCAGGACTCATTCAGAAAGAGAGCTGCCAGAAGCCCCCAGAAACTCACAAAACACACATTCTCTCCGTAATTGGTGGCACAGAGCATGTTCCTCCGGATAAGTGGGATAACTCGGGGATAGAAGGACATCTTGTGGAAAATATGGTCACACTTCTTGTTGTCCAAAATGAAGACCTCGGCTTCCCGAAGTTCTGGAGTCCATGTCAAGTTGTCTGTAGGGAGCAGAAGGGACAGCTGTGACCCCTCACTCCCTGCAGGTCAGCTGAGCCCTACCCCACATCTGTGCACCTCCCTCCACGTGGTCTTTCCGGCAACGTGGGCCTGACATAGCGACTCCCTCACCGTGCCAGGCTTTGGTTCAGGAGCCTCTAGTCGAGGAAGCTTGTGTTGCTGAACCCAGAAGGCTACCAAGTCCCAGCACAGCCACTTACAACTTGGAATCCCAACCCTGGGATCTTCCTTTCCATAGCATTTATTCCCTGAGCCCCAACTGACAGGCACTTCTCTAGGTATTTTTGGTCATCTATCTACTCAGAGCTCAGCTCACACTCCCTGAGCTTGACCTCAAGACCTCCTGACAAGATCTTTGCCTTGCTTGATTGTTTTTGTTTTGTTTTGTTTTGTTTAAACAACATCAACAACAAACCACAGTCTCAAACAGCCCAGGCTGGTATCAAACTTATGTACCTGAGGCTGGCTTTGAACTCATCACTCCCTGGATCCTCACTAATGCTGGAGTTACAGGTGCAATTCATCAATGTACCTAGCATCTTCGACACTTCGTCAGCCTCTGTACCACTCACCCCCTTGCCCTACTCTGTGACTCCCTTCCAGGCATTCCAGGCCAAGGGTTCAAAGCATGGCAGCTGTTTCAGTTGTGGCCAGAGAGGAAGGGAGGGAGGGAGTCAGGGAGGGACTTGATGGCTTCCTAGCTCTGAGTTTCCGTAAGAGGAAGATGATTACGTCCACCCAGCTCAAGCAGCGTTAGCCTGACTGCAGTACCTATGTGACCATAACAGTGAGCACCGTACAAGGAGCGCTTGACACACTCCAAACTGCAGACTGGAAACCACAGCCGGGGTGGGGCAATGAAGGCCCAAAGGGACATTTCCAAACCCATTCAGCTTACCTGAGGAGTGCTGCTTAGTCTTGCCCCAGCCAGACACCCAGCACTGAGTCCCAACCTTCAAGTTGAAGCCTTGCTCGGGGAGACAGATGGGCTGCGCGTACTTGTTGAAGGTGACAGAGGCTTCAAGACGGAGAAGGGCAATGTCGCTTCTGATGAAGTTCCGGCCCCAGTACTTGGGATGCACAATGATGTCAGCCACAGGAATCTTCAGAGCCCAGGAAGAGCCCTCGGGCTGCAGCTTGCTGCTACTCAGCATCACTGAATATTCTTTGTTACTGCGGGAGATACAGAAGCACACCCAGCAGACAGTTTTCCACACAACGCACCTGCCACCTCCCAGGACCCTTTCCTGTCCCTGATGGCCTGCCTGACATGCTCCGTCCACTCAATCTGGATTAATCCAGCCTGGGACACTCAAGGTCAAAGGCATAGCAAACCTTTCACAGTCCCATTGAGTTGTGTGCATGCGTGCGTGCATGTGTGTGTGTGTGTGTGTGTGTGTGTGAGACTCCTGGGGTGTGGGTCTGGGCTTTCCTGCTGCCCAGCTTAGGATGCAGGCTCTGTTGCTTGGAGACCCACCCTGACATAGTCCCTGAACCTTGTGAGGCCCTGAGCCTGACTCTTCCCCTGTGCTGGATGCCCCTTCCCACTCTTCCTGGTTCCAATTTCCTTCATGGTTTCATGGGAGTACTGAGGAAGCTGGGCTGGGCCCACGGTAGCTCTAGGGCTTTTACATCCTTGACTCATGGGCCACACTCACCCCTGGATGCAGTGAGCTGCAGAGACCACCCAGTTGATATCAATGAGGGCCCCTCCACACACGTGCTTATTTTGTATGCGAAGGCTCACTTCCCAGGGCCAATGGCGGCTCTTCTTCAAGTTGTCTGGCCACCAGGGCTTGCCACAAACTTCAGAATAAGCATTGCAGAGAGTACAGTGTACACAGAGAGGACAATCAGAATGACTCGTAGTAACAAGTCTCCCTCTGGGGTCAGGTTGCCAGAGCTGTACCATGGGGCTTCTTCTCATTACAGAGAGGAGACTGTGGGGGCAGAGGACAGTGGACCCAAGGGCACTGAACTAGACAAAACATGACAGTTACAGAGATAAGAGCATGGAGAAAGAGACAGAGGGACCCCACAGCTGGAGAGTAAGAATGAGATCCACAAAGGACAATCAATGCTGAAACTCAAAACAATGCAGAAACGGAGCAGGGGTTTCAAGAGGTAAAATGTGTTTCTGGCACTGGGCCATGTTGAAAAGTTGTCCTGTTGGCTGCATCTCCGTGATGCAAAAAGTCCCCACACTGGTCAGAGTGGGAAGAAAATAGCTATGAATTTCTCTATGAGAGGTCTTTACCCTCCATAGTCTGGAGCCCACAGTTATTAGTTTGCATACTGGTCTACCAGTCAAAGTGTATGAATGGATGAATGCATGAATGCATAAATGCATGCATGCATGCATGAATGAATGAATGAATGAATACAGGTGCAGGGATTATAAATAAAGTACAATGTGCTGCCAGGCGGTGGTGGCGCACGCCTTTAACCCCAGCACTTGGGAGGCAGAGGCAGGCGGATCGCTGGGAGTTTGAGGACAGCCTGGTCTACAAACTTCCAGGATAACTTGGACTATGTAGAGATAACCTGCTTCTAATAAATATACAAAATAATAAAAATAAAAATAAAAAATAAGAAAGAAGAGAAAGAAAACCTCAAAACATTAAAAGAAAGGGCGGGTCAGGGGGAAGAATATGACAAAGCAAAATTACAAGCATGTTTGAACGTGTAACAAAGCTGATTACACACTAACTTTAAAAGCGAGCAAGGGACTAGAGAGAAGGCTCAATGATTAAGAGCATTTGCCGTTCTCTGAGAGACCCAGTTTGGTTCTCAGCGCTACCATGTTGACTACAATCATCTGTAACTCTAATTCCCGGGGACTTGGCATCCACTTCTGGCAAAAGGCACACACATATGCCCAGGCAAACACTCTCCAGCACATACAATAAAAATTAGCAAAAACAATTTTATGCCCAAATAAAAACATCTTTAGGTGCTGGGAGACATCTCAGTTGGTAAAGTGTTTGGTGTGCAAGCATCAAGACATGAGTTCAATCCCCGGCACAGAGTAAAGCCAGGCATGATGGTACAGGCTTATAATCCCAAGGCTGGGGAGGTGGGGATAGGCAGATCCTTGGGGCTCAGTAGCCAGCCAGTCTATCCTAATCCGTAATCTTCCAACCAATGAGAGACTCTGTCTCCAGAAACAAAGTGGGTAGTGCTTGAGGAACAACACCTGAGTTTGACTTCTGTTCTCTACATACATTTGTGTGCACACACACACACGTGTGTGTGCATACACACACATACACACACACCATCTTTAAATGAGACTGAGTTACAGAGGGAAAGCAGAAAGCAGTGAGGCTTGGACAGAAGCAAGAACATAGTCAATTAACCACATAGTCAATAGTGAACCTTAGGCCTGACAATGGAGGCCTGTGAACCCAACCATGCACTCCCTGGGTGTAAGGGGAAAGACAGGAAGCCTCAGGAGCCAGGCTCTGTAGCCAGTGCCCCTGGAAGCTTGTTATGAAGCTGTAGGGAAGGCTCAAAGCCAGAGCTGAGATCAGAGTAGCCCTGCACGCCCATGGAAGACCCAGACACTCTTTCTTATTAGCACTCGGGGCTGTGTCCTGGCAGTGGTATACGTTGTTTAGGAAGTGCATCCAATACTTGCTTCCTACCAAGCCAGAAATGCAATTTAGGCAGAGACTTTCAGAACGTATTTTTCCCAGGAACTGGATCTTTCCCTGCCACAGGGACCCACTACGCACCTGGTTGGTCGTGGTCCTCTTTATCACCTGAAGGAGACAAGGAGGACAGCGATTACTTGTAGCAGGATGGCCGTAGAGGGTGGTATTTTTTTTTTTAATAATTAGTTCACTCACTCGTTCATCAGATAGTCCCGAATCTGATGCTGTTCCTAGTCTGAAGTCGCAGACTGGGAAACAATGGTATCAGACAGAACCTGTCTGGGGACACATACTCCTCAGCTATTCAGACAGTAAACACACTGCCATCATGTGAGATCAGGACATGGGCAGGGCCTGAGATGTCAGGTCAACCTAGAAGAGGTGGCGGTGTAAGCAACAGCTGAGAGGGGGAAAACAAATAAAAACTGATTAAAAAAAAAAAAAAAAAAAAAAGGTCCTCCAGGGAGGAACACAATAGTGTATTCCAGAGTCTTTGGAGGATGAAAATGATGTCTGTGGTGGAAGAGAAAAATGATGTAGTAAAAAAAATAAGTAAATAATTGAGCATCAGAGGTCAATCAGAGAGGGCCACGTGAGCCAGGATGAGCAGCTCTGGGAGGCCAGCAGAGGCGTGGATCAGATGCATGGCGTGGATTGGATGCATGGCATGGATCGTATGGATTGTGTTACGAGAGCAGCAGGGCAGAGACAGGAAAGTGACAAGATAGATGGGGGGCAGGGATCTCCACTGCATCTCTGCAGAAGTCAGTCAAGCAGGGAGGGACCTGGACGAGGCTCTGAGGACAGATATGAGGAGCTTGAGGGGCGACCAAGGGACATGGGTTAGTCTGGACTGGTACTGGTTTCTGAATGCAGAGAAGTGGCTGTCGTTCACTTCACAAGGATAGACAACTAAGAAGGAAAGCCAGCTTTCAGGAAAAGGAGGGTCTGGTATAGACACCAGCGAAGTGAGATGCTTCAGGATGGTTTGGGGAAAGAGATCCAGCAGGTGGGTGCTCCTTCAGGCTATTGTCTTAGGTGGCATGACATAATGCGGCTCAGTGCCTGGGGTAACTGGGCTCACCCAGGGAGCAGAGAAGAGGGAAGAAATCAATAGCACCTTAAGTCTGAAACGAGCAGAGACTGGGTGGCCCGATGTGGACACAGAGGAGAGGGATTCTCCTGAAACAGGAGAATCAGGAAGCTGGGGAAGGTGGTATGTGTTTGTAATCCCAGCACTTAGGAGGTGGAGACAGGCAGTTCTGGACTTCAAGCTGTCTATCCTCAGCTACATAGAAAGTTCAAGGCTACCCAAGGGTTCATGAGACCTTGCCCTTCTCCCCGAATAAAAGAAGGAAAAATTAAAAGGGGGAAAGGGTTGGAGGAGGAGCCACAGGAAATAAAAAAAGGAAGAGATCAATAAAAAATCAAAACGAGCCGGGCAGTGGTGGCGCACGCCTTTAATCCCAGAAAAAAATCAAAACAAACAAAGCCGGGAGCAGTAAGGAGGACAGGTCAGGCATGGGCTGAGGATTACATGGGAAATCAAGAGCCAGAGGGAAGCATGAGGGGCAGTCAGAGGATTCACTGGGGGCTGGGCGGGGAGGGGCGGGGGGAGTCTGAAAAGACAGTCAAAGGCTGGCGATGGCAAGTAGCCAACGTTTAGAATATCATCCTTTCGCGCGGACGGAGGTACGGAAGGTGTCTGGGCATGGAGGGAGAGGCCAGGGATGCTGCCTGCGGCTGTCTCCAGGAGACCACAGGGTAGTGTGGAGAGACGACACTGATAGAAGACAGCAGAGAAGGTGCCCGCCTCACCTAAGTTTGAAGGCGGAGGCAGCAACAGTAGTGTCACAAAACAGGTTAAGACCCAGTGCCTCAAGGATCCAGGCCAAGCGCCCAGACCACACAACGACGACGCAGCCATGAAGATGTACCTATGGGCTGCGGAGACAGCTCCAGCGTGCTGTCACGTGCCCACATCCCGTACGTGATGACGTCTTAGACACGTGACATGATGGCATCAAGAGCCTGACCGCACCTCTTCAGGGCCTTTGATTCTTGTACCTGGACCCAGTCTGGTCCTTAAGGTGAGTTCAGATCCCTTGACTCGGACTGGATCTCGGATTACAGAACTGTGAAAGCACCTTCAGTGTTATCATAGTGTGGCGGGGCATCCAGAGCCTAACTAGGGAAAGATTCCTAGGCCACGAACAGCATCTTGTGGTCCAGCCTCGGGCTAGTCTCTTGTTCTCTGGGCCTGTTGCACGAGTTTCATGGTAACTCTTGACAAGGACCAGGAAAATCCAAAACCAGAAAATAACATCAGTAAGGAAGATGGTTCTGAAAAGGTAATGGATGAATTGGATCAAGACTAAATCAAGGAGGGGGCACAGCTGGGGCAGGATGCTGAGTCAAGAAGGGCACCTGTCCTGGTCCACAGACCAACAATATGAAGGATTGTCGCCGCTGAAAAGGAGGGACTTGTCTGTGCCTGGCCTTGGGGTGTAAATGGGACTTTTCACAGAGGGACGGTATCTTTGGATCTCCAGAGCCCAGCAGAGATTGTGAGATGACCACGGAAATTCCTGTTTTCTTTGTTTAGTTCCAGGTGTCCAGCAGTACTCTCCAGACCCAGGCACCCAGCCTGGCATTGAAACATTGTTTATGTGTTTGTTTTTGAGACAGGGTTTCTCTATGTAACAGCACTGGCTGTCCTGGAACTCACTTTGTAAACCAGGCTGGCCTCAAACCCACAGAGATCTGCCTGACTCTGCCTTCCAAGTGCTGGGATTAAAGGCATGAGTCACTGCCACCCAGCCAGTATTTTTTTATTTAACGGCGGTGGTAATAGCCAACCTGATCTACAGAATGAGTTTCAGGAAGTCAGGACTGCTACACAGAGAAACCCTGTCTTGATAAAAACAAAGATTATTAGTTTGATTTTATTTTTTAATGTGTGAGTGTTTTGTCTGTGTACATGTCTGTGAACCACAGTATGTACGTGACACCCACAGAAGCCAGAAGGCATCTGATCCCCAGGGCTGGAGTTACAGACAGTTAGAAGCCACCAGGTAGGCTCTGTGAATCAAACTATGGAAGCTCGCAACGACTAAATCATCTCTCCAGCCCCAACCCACCCGTTTGGATGGGTAATTCGTGCCATTTACGTGTCAAGGTAGGCAAGAGAAGGCTGTCCTTCTGCCAGCATTTGGTTCCCAAAGTTAGGTCCCCACACCAGCTGCAGCTGCATCAGCAGCATCTGGGAACTTGATCTTCATCCTCACACCTTGGCCCCGCCTCCCGGAATTGAAAACTTCCTTGGTGAGGCCAATATTGTGAATTGTGTTTCTTTCTAGACAGGGTCCCTCCCTGTGTAGTCCTGTCTAGCCTTGAACTTGTAGGAATCCTCCTGCCTCTGGCTCCCAAGTGCTGGGATTAGATATGTCCCATCACTCCTGGCAGTAATGTGGACTTTAACAGTTCCTTAGAGCGTGCTCGCATGAGTGAAGAATGGACCATGAGGCAAGATAAGGGAGGGAGAGCTATCTATCTATTCTTAGAGCAAGAATAGCTTGCTGTAGGAAACAACGTTGAGTATGTGTTGTTAGGCTCTGAGGAGCCAGCGGTTTCTGGAGGGTGGAGGTGGTTTGGGAGCTTGCTGTTGTCACAACACCTCGTGTCCCAGTTTGTAGGATTAACCTCAAACTCAGTGTGTAGCAAAGGAACAAATGATTATTGTCTTTGTCTCTGCCTTCCAAGTGGTGAGGACATAGACAAACACCCCCTCATCTATTCCAGGTCCGGTGGTTTCTTAACATATCTGGTGATGTATGTATTCATTAAGAGATGAATCTGTCAGGGCTACATAGTGGTATCCTGTCTCAAAAATAAAAAATAAAAAAATAGAGAGTGGGTTGATGTAAACTCCATCAGATTCATCCATCCTTTGGCAGTGGTTGGAACTGGATGCCCACTGAAGCCAGGGGGAAACAGAGGGCAAGACATGGAACCCTGGAAAGACAAAGGGTGGGAGGGGGTTTGGAGGAGACTAGTGAACACATCTATAGTGGGACTCTGTATGAGATGGGAGCTGTATGGAATGTGATGAGTCTCTCTTCAAGTCCTCCTGACTTTGGGAACATGGCCTTTGGAAATAAAATCAGATGAATAGCAAGAAGAGAAAGACAAGTGAATAAATAATTTAAAGAGAGAGAGAGAGAGAGAGAGAGAGAGAGAGAGAGAGAGAGAAACTGCTTCTCAGGCCCTGGCTTCATTCTTTTTTTTTTTTTAACCCCTCCGAGACAGGGTGTCTTTGTAGCTTTGGAGCCTGTCCTGGGACTAGCTCTTGTAGACCAGGCTGGCCTCAAACTCACAGAGATCCGCCTGCCTCTACCTCCCAAGTGCTGAGATTAAAGGCATGCACCACCACTGCCTGGCCCGGCTTCATTCTTACTCCCAGTTCCTGCCTGTTCTGAGCCCTTGCTCCTACCTTTGAACATGGTACAGCACAGCTAACGTCCCTGCCCAGATGCTGATCGCGGATAACTACGCCAGGTATGTAGACAGCAGGATTGCCTACCAAAACCACCTATAGGACTCAGGTCTGAGCTAGCCCAGTCTCATCTCTTCTGTGCCTTACCGCCAACTGTAAGGAACTTCCTAGATATATGGGGGTCCAGTTCTCTGAGCGGCCAGATATTTCAGGTGAGCAGAGCTTCAGAACACACAGGACACTCTCCAAACATTTATTCAGTGCATATTTGAAATCTTCCCCACTCCAAACTGCCTTGACACAATTTGAGGTGACCCTGGATGTGGCCACTAGAAAACTGAGGAAGGGGTGTCAAGCAGGAGTATGAGGTAGGGGTTGTGCATTCACTGACAGATCCCCACATGGGTAGTACAGGGGAGTTTCTGCCAGCCTCGGATACTTAAGTCTCAGCTCCATACCTCTGCAGGGAGCTAGCAATGCTCCTCTTTTCCTCCCTCCCTCCCTCCCTTCCTCCCTCCCTCCCTCCCTCCCTCCCTTCCTCCTTCCTTCCCTTCATCCCTCCCTCCCCTTTTCCAGCAGTCACTGATCTGTGTAATGCAAACAGCCAGTCTAGACCAATGATGGCCTCTCTTCTTGACAGACATCCTCTGAAACATTATTAGTCATTGTGCCCCTCCTAGCTGTCAAGCTGGCCCTCCAGTTGGATCAGTTCACTCTCATTCCCACCAGGCAGAGAGCCTGAGGTGTGTCTGAGACGAATGACCAGAACACCAGTCAGGACACTTTGCAGTCCCCAGTCACCCTGCCACGGTCCACTATGCCTCTCCCCAGGGCAATGGATCCTGACTGGAATCTGAAGAAAGGGCCGAGAGAGGAAGATGGGATTGGAGAAGAGGCCTAGTGGGAGACTCGAACCAACAGGAAGAGAGTGTGCCAAGGAAATCACAGCATCATCAAGATGACCAGTTGCAGCACCAGGGACAGGTACAGGACCAAGACTCCCATGGCGTCCGTACAGGAAGCCTGACTTAGAATATGTTTGAGCCATGCATCATATTTAGCGATGTCTGTGTAAACCAAAGGGACAGTAACTTTGTCACACTTGGTGCCCCAGCTCACAATTCCGACCTGGGTCCACGTGTTCTCAGATTCACAGACAAGGGGGCTCCCAGAATCTTCCTGAAAAAGAGGAGAAAGAAACCAACTGTAGGAGTGGAAGAGGTAGCAGGCTGGCTGCATTGTTGGGGAGATTTCCTCAGGCCCAAAGGCCCAAAGGCTCTTGCAGGCCTAGATTCTTCCCTCCCTCCCTCCCTCCTCCCTCCCTCCCTCCCTCCATCCATCCCTCCTTCCTTTTTTCCTTCTTTCTTTTTCTTTTTCTTTTTTTTTTCTTTTTTTGAGACAGGATTACAGGGTTTCTCTATGTAATAACCCCAGCTACCCTGGAACTTGCTCTGTAGACCAGGCTGGCCTTGAACTCATAGAGATTCACCTGTCTCTGTCTCCGGAGGGCTGGGATTAAAGGTATGAGCCACCATACCTGGCCCTAGATTTATGTAATGGCTGAGACTTAGCAGATGAAAAACTCACATGAAAACTTGACCATCCTCTGAACAAGGATATACCTTCTCTGATGACCAGGCAATCGACACAAGATGCACAGCCAGTCCAGTCCAGTGGAACAGTCATAGACTGACATTTATCTTGGGAGTCCCTAATCTACAGATACCAAACCCTTTCTAGTGGATGTCTAAGCCTGTCAGAACTCATAATCCCGCAACTGTATTAGCTTTGGCCTCTAGAGTATGTAACCTGCAGAGCCCATTCCAGCATCATTCCGGTGTCTAGTTAGACTGGTCTGTCCCGAGTCCTCAAAAACATTAAATACCTTGAGGATCATCCTTGCATGGAGGTCCTGGAATCTTTACCACAGACTTAAGAAGTTCTCTCTGCCCTAACATCATTGAGTAGCCTCCTCCATGGGTCAGCTGTGCTGCCTTCAAGAGCCGGAGGCACGCCAAATTTCCCCTTCCAGTGCAATTCTGCATGGCCCTTACCCACCCTAAATCCTACAACCTTGGTCACCTCAAACACACCTCCCCCCCCCACCTCAGGTTCTGCTCAGGACTCCTAGGTGATGCAACAAGCTCAAAAGACCTCAGTCCAGGCACCAGCCGCCAAGGGAGTCACTTATCTAGAAGGTAACTCTCACCACACGCGCCCAGCTTTGCCTCCCAGCCCTGGCTGGGCCAATCTAGAAATTTGACATAGCACTCCAGGCTGCACATAGTCCAACTCTAACCACTTGGGTTTTTTGTTGTTGTTGTTGTTGTTGTTTTGTTTTGTTGTTTGTTGTTGTTGTTGCTTTCAAGGCAGGGTTTCTCTCTGTAGTCCCAGAACTACATGTATAGACTACACTGGCCCCAAACCCAGAGATCTGCCTGACTCTGCCTCCAGAATGCTGGGATTAAAGGAGGGCACCACCACACCCAGCTTCAACTCTAACCAATTTCTCCCACTGCTCCCAATGCATACAAAACTTCCTTCAGCATAAGACCTCTGAACCCTTATATATGCCTGTGCCCCGTCACAACAATGATACCCTCCCCTTTCCAAGAAATTCAAATGTGCATCTACTGATGGCTCCAAAGCCCTTCTCAAGAATACAGTCTTATGGAGAGGGAAGAAATGGACCTGGGATCCTAGAGGTATTCATAGGAAGAGCTTCAATTTATCTCCCTGGTTTTTGCCTTCCAGAATCTTTTAATGCCTATGTTACAAGGCTGTGATATGGGTTAACTAAGATTATAAAGGGCAAATGCTCACATTGGCACAGTTGCATGCCACATAACACTCAGTAAAGAACATCGTTTTGTATTATGCTCAAATTTAAGTGCTTTCGCAGGGTTCCTAGGTAGCAAAGGCTAAACCTTTTAGAAGGACCAGGCCAGGCCAACTCATGGGAAACCTTAACTAACGGGTTTGTACAAGATGTAGCGGCAGGGCTTAGTGGCACATGCCTTCTACCACAATGTCAGAAGGCAGAAGCAAGAGGATCTCTGCCAGTTTGAGGCAAGCCTGGTCTTCGCGGAGTTCCAGGGTTGCTCAGTGAAACCCTGTCTAAGAACGGAGGTGGCGATGGCAGATAACTCGAGCCTTTGAGGTGGCTTCAAGGGGCCCATTAACTGACCCAACAGGGACTCTGTCCTGCGCCGTGCTGCCCACAGATCATCCCTTTCATCACCAGGTCTTTAGATGTGTTTAACTGACTCTGGAACAGCTGATTACAAGGCTTCTGGAGAAGAATGTTTTGCCGGGCCTCCTGCAGGAGAGCTGAGGTGAAGACTGTATCTACAGAAAGACAATCAAGGGTCTGAACCAGAAGACGGCGGGAGCTACCAGCATCCGCCCGGTGCCACCGGGTGTGTGAATATACAGTTGACCCCTTAAGACAGACAGGCCATGCACTGGACACCTGTCCCAGAGGAAACAGACAAGAAAAGTCTTGCCAGCTAGAAAATGACAATCAAGCATCCCCCAGAGTCTTTGCTGCAAGAGGGAGGGGCAAAGGTCCTGTGCTCACTCAGCCCAGGAAGGAGGAAGCTTAACCCTTTGGGGGAAGAACAGCTCCAGTGGGTGAGTATTACATTACCCCAGCCCAAATCTAATTTGGACAGAAACCATCACGGCTGTCACCCAAGCAACCAGGTCCTGACACAAAAATAAAAGCCTTAACACAGTTGCAATGTGCTCGCTATCAGTGTTTTTGCCTTCCTCCTCCCTCGTCGGCCAGTTAGAAACTCGCCCCTCTCTTTACAGATCAACCTGAAGCATCAGGCCATCCCACCGGCCAGACTCACTGTTTTCACGGTTCCAACCGGTCACCCAGCACCATGTCCCGTTCTTCACCTGGGAGGGCTTCTCAGGAAGGCACACGGGCTGGACACGTGAGGAGTAGTTCACAGCAAAGGCCAGCAGAGCAAGAGCAATGTCGCTCTTCATGGTTTGAGAGTCAAAATCGGAAGGATAAATGATGTCTTTGATTGGGACAAGAATCCGATGTACAGATTTAGAAGTCAACACACTGTCTCCCAGCATCACCTTATATTCCTCATGGCTGCAAGGAAAGCAGAGGACCTTGAGGGCTTACACACCCCCTACACAGGGTGTTTGCTTCCCAACCCAGCCTTCTGTGGATGCCAAACATCAGCCCTCTCCTGCCAAACCACACCCTTCTCCAAGACCCCTGACCACCCTTGCCCACCCAGCAGTGCTCCAAGTGTGCTTCTTAGACCAGAATCATCTGGAAACTTGCTAAAAATGAAGTTGTTCAGGTGTCACCTGAGACTGGACATGAATCCTGGACTGCCACTCCTTTTACAGATGAGAAGGAAAAATCTGTGTGTGTGTGTGTGTGTGTGTGTGTGTGTGTGTGTGTGTGTGTGTGCATGCACATGCATGTATGGGCGCGTGTGCCTGGCTGTCCTGGAACTTGCTCTATAGACCAGACTGACCTTGAACTCACAGAGATCTACCTGTGAGTGCCAGAATTAAAGGTCTGTACCACTACTACCCAGCTAAAATATCTTTTTGTTGTTGCTGTTTTGTTTTGTTTTGTTTGGGGGGGGGGCAGGACTTCTCTGTGTAACAGCTCTGGCTCCCCTGAAACTCGCTTTGTAAACCGGGCTGGCCTTGAACTCAGAGACCTGCCTGCCTCTGCCTCACAAGTGCTGGCATCATCGCCCGCCCCCCCCCCAAAAAAAACCTTAAGAGTGGGAGACAGGACACAGCAGGATCAGGGGCCCTGAACAAGGTCCCCAAACACTTACGCATATATGCAGTGGGCTGCAGTCAGCACCCATTGGTGGCTGATGAGGGAGCCTCCACATACATGCTGATTTCTGCTCTGCAGGCTCACCTGCCATGGCCACTTCCTCACGGCAGATGGCCTTCCATGACTGAACTCCATAATTCTATGGCCACATGCTTCTAAAGAGAGGTTAGAAGTGAAGCCAGCACTCCACACCTCCATCCCATTCCACACAATCAAGGTCATCCTCAGAAAGACTACCTCTCCAGCCCTGCAAGGACCGGAGCAGACCCCGCCTTCCCGGCCCGACAGGTTTGCACTTTGACCTCCTAGACTGGCCGGAAGAGAGCTGGCACCAGTAGCAGTACCTGGAGCAAACGGTTTTCCTGGAGAGCTACTGCTGGATTCCATGACACCTTCGGCTGTGGTCGGTGAAGGAGTCCCTGATCCTGGCGTCCCAGTGGAATCTGGAGACACCGGAATTACCAAAGGATCTGAAATATTCAGGGGTTTCATGCGGTTCCACCGTGCCGGGACCTCTGGACTTGTGGGCATCACTCTGGAATCCTCCTTGGGTCCATAAGTACTACTTAAGGAAGAGACTAACAGGAAAAGTTCAGGCAGAGCCGTACCTGCGCCTGCGCAGCTGCTTGCTGCTGGCTTGACTGCCCCAACAGCATCAGCCCTGCCACCAACGCCAACACCATCACCATAGTCACCCCCACCCAAAGCCAAGCTCCATGCGGCCACACCTCCGCCTCTGCTACCACCCGGGAGCCCTGTCCCCAGCCAAGGTCTCACTGAACAGAAGCTGAAGAAGCTGAAGCCAGACCAGGAGGGTCAGGAAGCCGCCCCTGTCATCTCTGCTGAAGCCGCCCATTTAGGCCTTGGGCTCAGACAATCCCTCTCCTCTCCTGGCACCCCCGCCCCCCAGCAGTGGCTCGTGCAGGTCCGGAGCTTTTTCCTAAGATGGCTGATCCCTGAGTCACCGTTATCAAAAAGCTAACTGCGCAGCACCATCATGGGAGCAATTTCGAAGGCGTTCTACATCTTACCAGTATTAAATACAAAAGGGGGCTGGAGTTTTTGCTGCTCTTGCAGAAGACCTGGCTTTGGTTCCCAGCACCCACATGGTGGCTCACAACCACTCATAACTCCAGTTCCAGGGGATTCTGTCTCTCTTCTGACCTCCTCAAGGTGCGTATATACACACACACACACATACACACACACACACACTCGAAGACAAAACTCTCATACACCTAAAAAATAATGTTTAAAAAATATTAAATAAAAAGACCATCCCAGTCCCAGGCAACATAACCTCCTGACAGTTTGATAATTTCCTTTTTAATCTCTGGTGGTAAAATAGGACCATATACAAAACCACAGAAATACACAACTTTGGTGAGCAATGTAAAGTGACTACATGTTTATCTACAATCCAGGTCAAGACACAGAACTCTGCTGACAGTGCAGGAGCCCCCCCACTCACCTCCATGGCACAACTGGAGGCTGTGTTCACTAATGCTACTTTCATGTAACTGTTTTCTGTAGTGCTCACACCCAAACATGCTTCCCTGCATGCCCAAACATGCTGCACTGCATGCCTTAAGAGACGCTGAAGACTGTACCTTCTCCTCCTGTGCATCACATTTCGTGTGTAGATGACCCTGGATTGTTTGGCATGTAGTCTCTGGAAGTCTAGACTCTGAATTGCTCTCTTTCTTATTCTTCTCTCTTTCCTGCAAGTTCGCAGTGGGACCCAGGTCCCGGCCCCCTGTCAACCAATAATAAGTGCTATTATTGGGAGAAACACAATGTCTTATTTTAATATTTATTTTTATTTTATATGTATGAATGTTTTTCCCATATATATGTAAAGTGTCCTGTATATGTGCCTGATGCCCATGATGGCCAGAAGAGGGCACCAGACCCCCTGGAACTGGAGCTCTGGATGCCATGTGGGTACTGGGGACTGAACCAGGATCCTCTGCAAGAGTAGCCAGTGTCCTTAACTGCCGCGCTTTCTCTCCAGCCCCACTGCATGGTTTTTTCTGTTCTTGTTTTTGTTTTTTTGTGACTTTACAAATGGTTTGATAGTTTTGCCTAGAAACACTAATCCCTCCGGGGTGTTGAAAATAGTGATCTCACAGTTTCAGAATTTTCTTTTGTTCATCAGCTGGGAAAGTTTTATCAAGAGTGTGGCTGTTAACACATTTTATAGGTTTTTAAAAATTGCAACTGTCTTCCCTTCTGTGGTGGATTAGAAAACTCAGCCAAAGTATTTTGCATCTTTAACAACCAAGAAATGGAATTCATCCAGGTATGGCAGCTCATGCTATAACACCAGCAAGTAAGAGGCAGTAAAATGTCAAGTTCAAGGCCCGCTGGGCTATATGAGTTCAAGGCTTCCCAATACTAAAGTCAGACCTTGCCTCATTCTCCCACCCTTGTTGGAGCTAAGATGGCTTTGTGATCTGCTTCTACCAACAGAAGCAAAGTTGTGCAACTTCTGAGTTTAGATGTTGAGAGTCCTTAAAGTATCTACCTTCAGTTGGGCGGTGGTGGCACATGCCTTTAATCCCAGCACTTGGGAGGCAGACGCAGGTGGACTTCTGTGAGTTGGAGACCAGTAAGGTCTACATAGAAAGTTCCAGGACAGGCTCCAAAGCTACACAGAAACCCTGTCTTGAAAAGACAAAGATAATAAAAAAAAAAAAAAAAAGTGTCTGCCTTCACCCATTTTAGACACCGTCCTGAGGGCCCTGGGAGGATGGGAGCCTTCTCCAGCAAGGGGGAGCATCCAGACTGAACTCCTCGAGACCATCTAGGACACCAAGTTATGCTTTATAAAGACTTTGTAAGCATTGAGTTAGCAAATCCTTTATCATTGCTCTTATTAGAAATTCAGGCTTCTGCTTCCGTGAGCAGAGCTCTGCACATATGTTCTCAGTCAGCATATCACCCGTTTCTAAGTGTTTCTCTGTAAACAGCTCATTACATCCTCTCTGTTAGCCGACCGCACTCCCAGCCCACAGCGCTTTAACCTGTGCTTAAAGAAAGCTGCCCCAAGAAAACTTCTCCATGATTCCATCCTAGCTCTCTCGCACTTAGGAATGCTAAGCCGCATTTCAGATTATTGTTGAGGTTCTTTGAAATTGAAAAAAAAAAAAAAGACCAGCAAACCCCACAAATATGTAAGAAAAATGTGGCGGTGAACACGTGTTTAAATGAGAACCCAAGGAAGCCTGGAAGTCATCGCGCTAGTCAGCTTTCTCGAGGCGCATGCGCACCAGATGTCTGTTGTTCCACTGCACCACGCTGTGTGAGGCCATTAAGTTTGGGATGCTATGTCACCAGCAGTGGATCCCTCAAACTCATCCTGAAGCTTACGTTATTCCATTTTTGCCAAGCATGGCTCCTGGAAGCAGTCTTGCCAGCGATGAGGGCAGTGGCTTGGGGTGTGATGTCATTGAGAGATCCCACGTCAGAGAACAAGCGAGGCAGGGTTGTCGGTTCAGGGGAGTTGAGCTACAAACAGCTGTGGCCGAGGTCTCTGCTGGTCACCCCAGAGGCCCTTCCAGAGTCCTCCCAAATAAAGGACTGCGCCGCCCCCCCCCCCCCCCCCCTCCCGCTGCATGCCAGTGATTTTTCTCTGGGCTGAGCCTGGGAGATGTTAACTGAGGGGGTGAGTTCCTAGCATTCCTAGCAGCTCTAGGTACTTTTTCTGAGAAGCCAGCACTGGGTCAGTTTCTCAGAAGTTGGAGGCAGGTGTGATTTCTCGACCAATGATACCTAACAGGCACACCACCACTCACCACGGAGTGCCTGTTCTGATCTAACAGGTAGAGCACCATTCACCTGAAGTACCTGTTCTGATCTGTACATAACTCATTCGGTTAGGATCCCAGTGGTTCCTTTTTTTTTCTTTATGTATGAGTGTTTTGGCTGCCTGGGCCCATGGATGTCAAAAAGGTCATCAGATCCACTGGGACTGGATTTTTAAGAATGGTTATGAGCCACCGTGTAGATGCTGGGAACTGAATCCGGGTCCTTTGAAAGAGCATTGAACCATCTCTCCAGCCGTGACCCCAGTAGTCTTTACTAGTGATCTTGCTATCTGGAATGGTGGGAAATACCAGGTTCCTTTAGGCAATTCCTACTCACACCTATACATTTTTTCAAGCCTTCTCTCTGGGCAAGCCTGGGGAAAATGGTGTTTCAAGACCACAATATCTGACCACTAGAAATGGTCATCTGCCTCCAAGTGCAGGGGATCTGATGCTTCTTCTGGTCTTTGTGGGCACCCGCAGACATGCAAGCAAAATACACATGTTAAAAATAATTTTTTTTTAAATCTTAGAAAATAGGTATCTGTAGATGATATAGAGTGTACATGGGAATCAGAGGAGAGGGGATGGAGAGATGAGCGAGCAGTTCAGAGACCATCTGCTCTTCCCGAAGGCCTGCGTTCGATTTGTAGCACCTGCATGATAGCTCACAACCATCTCCAATTCCTGTTCCAGGGATCTGATGGCCTCTAGCCTCTGTAGGCACTGCATGCAAGTGGTACACAGCCCATACATGCAGTCTAAACACCCCTACACCTGCAATCCTGGCACTCGGGAAGCTGAGGGAGGAAGATGGGCACAAATCTGAGCTATCTATGTAGTACCAGGCCAGCTAGGGTTGTAAGTCCCTGGAGGCCAGGCCCTGCCCTCCAACCACCAGGCTCCACCCACAGAACACTCTAATGGCCATAACTGCTGGACTTAGTCCCTCAAGACAGAAGGGGCCAAGCTCTGCAGAGTAAAATGTCCAAGATCAGCTACAAAATCTCACCAATGCCAGGCCACCCTGGAAAGCCCTACCTCCAAGAAGCCCAGCAGAAAGCCTACCTCTTGCTCAGATCTTGGCTGTTTCTCTCCCAAGCATAGGCAGCCATCCATGTTCGCCAATACATCTCTTGTGTGAGGTTTGTTGTGTGGTGTGGCTTTGTGGAATTCCTCAACTCCCAACTGCAAGGATACCTTTCCCCTCAGCTGTAACGTTTGCATTGGATCTTTCCCTTCAGAACTTTAACACTTAACATGGACCACAGAGCAAAACCTTGCATTAAAAGACAAAAACAGGGCTGGAGAGATGGCTCAGTGGTTAAAGGCACTCGTTGTACTGTCTGAGGACCCAGGTTCAGTTCCCAGCATTCACATGCTGGCTCACAACCATCTGTAGTTCTGGATCTAGGGGATCTGACACCGTCTTCTGACGTCACAGGCAACAAGACACACACAGGATGCCCAGACATTCATGCAGGCAAAAGACTCGTGCTCACAGAATAAATGCAGTAATGATTGCATATGCGTATGCACATATCACAGCTTACTGAGCATATTAAGTGAACACAGCTTATTATCTGTTTATTACATATAGAATAACAAAGCTGCTGAAATACATTTAATTACTACATATAAAGATGTTTGGTTATCAATAATACCAAAGGAAGAAATCATCAGCCTGCAGACCAATAAGCATTAAATGACAGCAAAATCTCTGACCTGGCCCCACCCCACAGAGTCTTACATAACAGTAGTTTCACTCATGAGCATTATCATCATCTTTTTAATTCATGTGATAAAGTTGACATACACATCCAAACCAAGCAAACACACAGCTTTGGTAGCCAATGTACAGTGACACTGCTTGGACTGCAGTCAAGGCAAACCACGCCGTCAAGAAGCCCTCCTGTGTGCCCCCGATAACACAGTTCCATTCTGCCCTCACTGAAGCGTCAATTATAATTGTTGTGTCGTTACTCTCATGCCTCTTCTCATGGCTCTAGCTCTCAGACATGCTTCCTTGGATGCTAGCCTCTCGTAAGACTCTTTTGCATTTGATGTATCTTTAGAACCACGACTACACGGTACTCAGCCCCTTGAACGTCACCTGTAGAAGACCCTGGACCCTGACCTGTGGTCTCCTACAGTCTGGACTTTGTGAGTTTTGCTCCAGGTTGCTCCTCCTCTATTTCCTACAGTTACGCTTCTGTAGGGCCCGGTTTACCCTTGCTCCTTGGGGTGCATCTTGAGGACAATTCCTGGTCAGCTAGCTAACATCCTGCTTGTTCCTGTGCTCCCTCTGCCCTAGCCTGGTGATTAGCTGAAGGGCATTGTTTCATCTTTGGTATGGTAATTTCCCCCCTGCCTGGGAGGAAATCCTTTTGCAGCAGCCAAGTATAATAGTTTTTCCCCAAAGCGGAATAAATGACCCAGGTCTCTTGTGTGTTTCTTTCAACCTTCAGGCCTTTGCCCGACTTGCATAAGGTACAGTGGTACGCGAACTGTACCGAGGGGGTAACACAGAATCGGGTGTTACACGCTTCTACAGTTCTTTTCTCAACAAGAGAATTAATGCTGGGTTCTGACACTGAGAGACATGACATCAAATGGCCGCCTCTTGTGACAATGCAGCCAGTTTACCTAGAAACTAATTCCTTTGGGTTGGAGGTGCGGTCTCATAACCCCGCTAGTTCTCTCTCAGTCACTGCTGGGAAGACTGGGACCAAGGATGTAGCTCAGTGGTAGAGTCTTTGCCTTGTATGTGTAAGGCTCTGGGTTTGGGAGCCACTACTTCAGAGGAGGGAGGAAGGAAGGGATGAAGAGAGAGAGAGAGAGAGAGAGAGAGAGAGAGAGAGAGAGAGAAGCAATATTAGGAGTTCGTTCATTTTAGAGGTGTTAAAGAATTTTTTATTATCCTCGATGTGGTGGGTTCGAAAATGTGGGTATGGCATGTTGCATCTCCATCTGCCAAGCATGTAAATTAGCTAGGCACAGGCCTTTAATCCCACCACTCAGAAAGCAGGGACAGGCAGATCTCTGTGAGCTCCAGATCAGCCAGGGCTGCATAGTGAGGTCCTGCCCACCCTCCCGCCCAAATCAAACAAACAACACAGAAAGAAAAAGAAATCAAATTCATTTCACAGCTATCATTAAGTCTGGTCTAGCAATAAGACATTCTGGCTTTTTTACGATAGGGTGTCATGGAACCCTGGCTGGCCGCCAACTCGCCAAGGTTGACCTTGAGTTTCTGACTCGCCGGCCTGCACGTCCCAGTGCAGAGAGTACATGTATACACCCCTGCGCCAAGTTTTAGGTCGTGTCAGGGATCAAACCCACGTTTTCACGCCTGCTAGGCAAACACTCGACCAACTGAGATATACCTTCGGACCAACTGTGACTTATTTTGGATAAACAGAATGTAAAAGAAGAAAAGTTGCCCAACTTCTTAATGAGACTGGCTATTGAGAGTCCTGGCAGCTTCTGCTTCCATCTGCCTGGAACACTGTCCTAAGGCCAGTTACTAGAAGATGGGAGCCCTCTCCCAGGAAACAGAAACATCCTTCCCCATACTCTCAGGGAGCTATTCACCACAGGACAAGACCATCATGGGTATCATGGCCCTGACAGAGTGCCACAGACTTGCACGCCCACCAGAGCAGCAAGAATTGCCCAATTCCCCTGTACAGTTGTGAGATGCACAATTGGAGGTTGCCATCCACAGGTGTCGTGTTCAAACTGTCACGGTGAGCACTAATCCATTTATTACTCCTAGGAGAAAGACAGGCTTAAGTCCCAACAAGCTGCTGAAAATACCCTCATTAACCAGCCATCATACTCCACAGCCCGTGTTTGTGCATTTCTGCAACATGCGGCTGTGTGCACTCTGTTAAATGACTGGATTCACAGCCAACAGCATCCTAAATATCTGAGGGAAGCTGCTCCAATATATTCCTTTTTCCCTTTGAGGCCCCTCACTTCTTGTCCTTAAGAGCCATGGTAATCAGATTCATCATTGCCATGGACAAAAAAACTGAGAGAAACGAGTCAAGGTGAGCAGTTATTCCCGTGGCTCCCAGTCTCTGAGAGTTCCACCTAAAATGGTGAGAAAGGCATGGTGGAGCCGCTCACATCGAGGCAATGTGTAACAAACACTGAGAACACAGGGAGGAGGTAGGGAAAGATACGGCTCTCAAGGACACATGCTCGACGGTACATCTCCTCTGGATAGGCCCCATCTTTCCTCATCTCTCAACAACACTGTCATATTATGGATACATTTCTGGTCCTCACCTCATGATCTAATCCTCTCTGGGCTTGCTCTTCAGAGATGTGCTTCATCTCCTAAGAATTTACTAATTCAAGCTGTCAGTCAAAAGTGTCCTCCCTGTGCTAAGCAACATTTCAACAATGTGGTTGGGACCTTTAAAATCATCAGCAAAATCTACCATAAATGTAAGGGAAATGATGTGGTTATAGAGATGGAAGATGCTCGTTTAGACAGCGAGCTGAAAGAAGCCGAGGAAGCAGCATGCTCCATCTTCGGTAGGAGCATGGGTACCAGGTGACCCAAAGGTCTCCACTGTTCCGTACACATCTACAGCGAAGTGACGGAGACAGAAGCACCCTGATCCATGCGGCCACCGAGTCTGAAGTGTTGTATCACAAACACATTAGATTCCTCAGGTCTGGTGACATTCCTATGGTCCCACCTTTTGCTGGACAGAGTACACCCTCTGATTAGTACCTGAATCTTACTGTGCCCCACAAGTCCCTGCAATGATGAAAAATAGGAGGCTCCTATTAGAAATTTCCTACTCCACACACGTATATTCCAAGCATGTCTCCAGGGAGCCTGGTTTCATTTTGATGGGCCACAAAGTTTGACCACAGGAAATGGGCACTGTTGTCATTTGCTCTTTACGGGCAAGTAAAGCTGCATCTCTGAATGCTTTGTTACTTTTGTAAAGTATAGTAAGTTCAGTAGACCCATCTACCACTCACCACCTCTTCCTCTGCCTCAGCCATCATGCCCTGTCCCCATGGTCTCCCCAGCAAACCCCTTCCTACCTGTGACCCACATCTTACATAGAGTCCTACACTAGTGCCTGACTTAGCAAAAGTAATCCACAAACATTGGTCAGGAAGAGTAAAAATGTCAGCATTGGTATTTGGTATTCCGTTTCCTCAGGGTGGATGCCTATTTTTTCCCTCAACAATGCTTGAGCTAAATTCCTATTCCCTATGCCTAGAAATCCCTCCTACAGCACAGACCAAAGGACTCCCTCTTTGGGAGCAGGGGATGTATCCCCAGAGGCTATTCCTTTGCCTACTCTATTGTATTTTTCCCCTCACTAAAGCAACCTGGAAAGGAAAATGGGGCCAGAGCAATGGGCTGAGAGACAGGTGTAGGGCCACAAAGGAACCTTGAGAATTCATCTTCCCATCCTCTTATCCAAATGACTCCTCAACTCCTTGCTCTGGCCCAGGAGCTGGAGGACAGAAGATAAACAACGGCTAGAGGGCACCCTTGGCTCAGAGCAACAAAATATCAACCTGTGGAGACAGAGAAAATCAGGCATCGGGCCTCCAAAGTCAGGGGAACCCAGAAGGCACATTACATGCTGATGGGCTGGTCTGAGATGTGTGCTGTGGGACTCATGGGCTCAGACCACCCACCAAACTTAAATGAGACAGATAGCCTCCTCTAGGATTTACCGGAGACCAAATAACTTCCCTGGATAAATGGGGGCCCATGTCTCTTTAGAGTATGCTATAAGCAGTCAAACAGTCCAGAGAGACAAAACTTCAGGACATATGAGATATGTTTACTCAGTTCATGTCTAAAAATCTATCCTCTCCAAAACTGCATCAACACAACCTAGGGTGGCCCTGGAGGTGACTGTAGGGTCCCAAGGAAGAGGGCACCAGACAGGACTGCTCCCAGGAATCAAGGGTAGCAAAAGTTTTGTACTCACAGATGAATTCCCACTGGGGTGCAGGAAACATGCTGTCAACCACAACTGAGCCAGATGTAAAAGTCCCAGACTCACAGCTCTGCAGAAAATGTGCTGGGCCTCCCGTCTCTTTGTGAGTGATCATAGAACTCAGGTAGGGCAGAGTCTCGGGTAAGAGCTAGGGAAGCAGTTAGATCTAGTGGTTACTCAACACCGACGATGTCTCTCCTCTCCAGATGTTCTCCAAGGCCTCCATGAGTCACCTTCTTCCACCTGGCAGGTCAGAGAGTCCTCTATCTGGAAATGGTTCTCTCTCCTTCGCTCCAAGCAAGGCACAGCCCTCGTACAGTGGTCACTGAGGCAGATGACCAAAGCACCAGGTCAGGACATTTTGCAAGTTCCCAACTCCTTGTCATGCTCCACTGAGGCAATGGATTCCGAGTAGAATTTGAAGAGAGAGCATTGACAGGGAAGGAAGGCTAGAGGAGAAGCCTAGTGGAGGCTCAGAAACAAGAGGACAGGGGGCTGTGGGGATCACAGGGTCACCAGGACCCTCAGGTGAAGCACCAGACATATGCATAACGTGAGGCAGCCCGATGAGTTAAAATCCGGAGCTCGGCTCAGTTCTTTAACGATCCAGTTTCTGTAGTAACTCACTTCTGTATAAATCCCAGGATATCCTTTTCGACCACAGCCAATGCCCCAGCTCACGATCCCCACCTGCACCCATGTCTTATCAAATTCACAGACCAACGGCCCCCCGGAATCTCCCTGGAGAAAAAGAAAGAAATGACAGGAATGAAATTGATTCATGACACAGCAGATTCCACCCCAAGGCACTGGAGAGATTGATACAAACCAGACAAACTCCTGCTACTCCTCAGTTTCTGTGAGATTTTAGAATTAAATCTTTTTAGCAAATGAACATTTCTATCTATTCAAAGAGGTTAACTAGGGGCTGGAGACATGGCTCAGAGGTTAAAAGCACTGACAGCTCTTCCAGAGATCCTGAGTTCAATTCCCACAACCACATGGCAGCTCACAGCCATCTCTAGTGGGACCTGAAGATAGAGCACTCATATATGTAAAATAAATAAATCTTAAAAACATCTTAAAATGAGGCTAACTGAATATAAACCAACATAATGTTTCTATTCTGAAATAATGAGTAAATCACTTACCCTGCGTTCATGGAATGTCCCACAGAAGAGGCTGAAAACACCGAATCTGTATTATTGCTGCCCTTATTCACCCCACCCCAGCCACTGCAGACAGCGCCAGCTGTTTCCTACTGGACAGTCCTGTCAGGCTGGCCCAGGAACTGTGGCCGCTTGTCCTGACAGTCCATTCGCTTCGGAAACAGCAAATGGAGGATGGGGGCATAGTCCAGGCCCTGATGTCTGGGAATTAGGAACTTCTGAGGGGAGGATAGTGGGGGCAGTGTGGCAAGAGACCCATGAACTGACCTGGCAGGTGTCTCCTCCTTTCTGACTGTAGCCACAGACCACCCCTTCCTGGGTCAAGGTAAATATACTTCCTGTCTTGTCCTTGAGAATCTGATTACATTTCTCATGACGAATAATGCTTAGCTGAACTTCCCGAAGAAGTCTCGATGATTCACCTACACGGAGATCAGTTTGGAGAGAACAGATCTCCATTAAGTAGGAAGGGCATGAGTCAGTGGTACCTCCTCTGGACCTCAACACCGTGTTCACCCCCGAGTACCCTCAAAGACATCAGCAATTATTCACATCTGACACTGGGGGAAAATGAGGCCCAACCTTGCCAAAAGTGTAAGGCGATACAAAGTCCAAACCATGGAAATAGAAGGAAGAACAGTCTGAGAGAGAATAAAATATTGTTGCCCGAGAGTTGGCAAGCATGTGATAAGCTCTTGCTAATACGAGTGATCATATCCTATGCGCCAGTCCAACATCGCTACTTGTTAGGATATGAACACAAACTCTTAGATGGGTAATACCGCCAAGTACCAAACTACACTCTTCCCAGTAATAGGAGGCCCTAGAGCAGCGGTTCCCAACCTTCCTGATGCTGCAACCCTTTAATACAGTTCCTCAGGTTGTGGTGACCCCCCAACCATAAAATTATCTTCATTGATACTTCATAACTAATTTTGCTACTGTTATAAATCATAATGTAAATATCTGTGTTTTCTGATGGTCTTAGATGACCCCTGTGAAAGGGTCATTCGATCCCCCAAAGGGTCAAGCCCATGGTTTGAGAACCGCTGCCCTATGTATGACTCACTGTGTTTCCGGGCCTTTCCTCGCATCCAAGATAGGTGCTTCTAGCTTATAGAGAGTCTTCTCACCCTGAGCCAAACATCTGCCCTGGTGAGTAGCCACCATGTGTGGTGCCTATGTCCTCCAATCCTGACAAGCCGATAGAAATTCACCAATACTTGCTCCCGCATGGTGCCTTCTCTCTTCCCCTCCTTATCCACCTGCTAGAAACTCAGGCGACCTGTCCCTCCCTTGAGCTTAGAGACCAATCCCAGGCTGCTAAGAAGGTTGTTCCCCGGTCTGTGGTTGCTGACGTCTTACTTTAGGCTCACCTCCTTCAGCCATTCTGCCCCATCCGGTCACCCAGCACTGGGTCCCAGCTTGCACCAAGAAAGTCCTTCTAGGGAGGCACACAGGCTGGATGGTGGCGCTGTAATTCACAGGGAAGGCCAGCAGAGCAAGAGCAATGTCATGCGCAATTGGTCCCATAACAGAGAAATCTTGATGAACAATGATGTCTTGGACCGGAATGTTGACTGCCTGGTTGGACCACTGGTCCACCTCTCCCATCGCCACTACGTAATCCAGATGGCTGCAAAGAGATCCTGAAGGGTCTACACACTTCCCATCCACAGTATCACCGTGCTCCCCAGCCCAGTCCCATCCTCCTGAGGTAGCCATCAACTACCCCTCTCCAGGACCTCTAACAACCCCCTCCAGCCACCGGTTGGTTCTCCAAGTGTGTGTGGCCTCTGATCGGTATCATTTGGGATCGTGTTAGAAATCCAAATGTTCGTGTGTCAACTGAAACTGAAATTGATTTTTTTTTTTTTAGAAAAAAGCAAGCAAACAAAAAAACCTAGGACTGTCATCTCTCACCCACTGCCTATAGTTTTGAGGTGGGTTCTCTCTCACTCTGTAGCCCAGGCTAGCCTGGAAATCACAAACTGGCCTCTAACTCCTGGCAATCCTCCTGCTTTAGTCTCCTAAGTGTTGGGATTACAGGCATGAACCAGCACCACAGGCTCCTTTTCTTCAAATAGAAAGCAAGAGGGGCAGGCCATAGAACCTGGTTAGGGGCCCAAACCCAGATCCCCAAGGCACTCACCCAAATACACAGTGGGCTGCGGTCATCACCCACCATTTGCTGATGAGGGAGCCCCCGCACACGTGCTGTCCTCTGACCTTCAGGCTCACCTGCCAGGGCCACCTCCTCTGCGCTGCAGGCTGACCAGCAACTATCCTTGCAATTCTGTGACCACAACCTGGAGCAGGTTAGTGAAGGGAGGGGCTGAAGGGAGGGGCTGCTCCACCACCAGCCAGATCCTTAGAACAAGCCTCTGTCTCTGCAAATCCTAGGGCAGGTGTGGATCCCAAAGGGATCTTGGGCCCACCCAGAGCCCACAGATCCTCCTATAAATCAGGGTCCCATCCCCCTAGGTCCAGGCCAGGTCTCTGCGGCAGACCATGGCCCAGGAACTTCACCTAAAGTGGTTGGAATCCATGTTGGAAACCGTCCCTGTGGCAGAGTCGTGGCTGAAAAAGAGTGACCCGGAGTAAATGTCACCAAATCAAGGGACATCGCGCTCCCCACAGGGTGGGGGACCTGAGAGGTCTCAGGCAATTCTGTGCTTGACTTCTCTAATGGGCTTGCACCCGGGTCATCGAGACCATCTTCCAAGGGGAGAGGAAGAGACAGCGTCCCTGTAACCATTCTGGCCTCCTCCACTCGTGTCTGAAGCAGCAAGAACCAAGCCAAGAAGCCCAGGCAGTCGCCAACCAGTAAGGCCATACCACCACGAAGGCCTCGGCCTCTGTCTCCAAGCCTTCTCATGGCGGTTACCGAGGCTGCGCACAGTTCTGGGGGAAACCGGTTCCATCACGCGGCCTCTTTCAGGCCTGACTTTGGCATATCACCGCCTTCCCAGCTCTCGGCTCTCTCCACCTGACCCACAGGCAGGGTGTAACCCAGACAGAGTGGCTAGCGGGAGGTGGGGGGCTGCAGACAGCTCATTACGCAGAAGCTTCCACGATGCAAGGATATACAACCGAGCTTCTCATACCTGACCTGGTCTTTCCCCAGATCTCCTGCGCCAGGGATCTGTTATCAAAAGTAAGATGCCTTAGCAGATATGTTGCCCCTAACGTTACCAACCATGCATCAGTACAAGTCTATTGGGCTTTCAAAAACAAACCCATAACAACCTCAAATGCTGACAGAGGTGCAGAGATAGGGTTTGTCCACACATGGTGGTAGGGAAAGCACACTGGCTGTTTATTAAACAATAAAAAAATGCAATTGCCATACACTCCAGTATTTCTATTCCTGGATATTATATTCCTTATTTCCAAAGAAATAAGGATTTAGGTTCCATTAACCAGTACAAATACTTAGAGTAAATATCTTTGTTCATCAAAACCAATAGCTGAAAATAACGTGGCAGTAAAACTGTTTGCCTCCCTCAAAGCACACGTTCCAATCCCTGGAACCCGTGAGCGTGTTACGTTACTCGGCCACTGGCAAACGGAACGGATTAAATGAAGACTCTTGACACAAGGTGATCTGTACTATCCAGGTGGGCCCACTGCAATCTCAAGCTTTTCTTATTTGTATCAACAAGACAACTGAAGTCAAGGGAGAAATGAGACGTCAAAAGAGGTGGGGGAAGAAGGGCAAAGTTGTTGAGGCTTTCACTATGGTCTTTAAGGACTGAGGAAGACGTCACAAATCTAGGGATGAAGGTAGCCTCTAGAAACTGGAACCAGAAAGCAGATAAATTCTCCCCCTTGTCAGGTGGTGGCCCATGCCTTTAGTCCCAGCCCTCAGGAGGCAGAGGCAGGCAGAGCTCTGAGTTCGAGGCCAGTCTGGTCTACAGAGTGAGTTCCAAGACAGCCAGGGTCGTCACACAGAAAATCTCCAACTTGGAAAAAAACAAACTAAAACAAAATTCTCGCTCTCAGACTCTAGAAGGCAACAAGCTGACTAATTTCTGATCTGCAAAAGTTTGAATTGCAAAATAGAGTTGGGCTGTTTCAAGCTACTACATTGGTGGCAAATTGTCACAGCTTCTATCAGTCCAGATATCCTTCAGTGGGTGAAAGGTTAGACAGCCTTACAGTTAAGCTGTAAACTGCAAACTGTTAAACCTGAGAATATTGAAGAGAAAAGACCAAATCCACAATTGTCCAAGTAAAACAACTGTATTTTAGGGTGTGCCTGGGACTGGCCCGTCGACTGTCTCACCTGAAGTCTGGATTTGAGAGAGTAGCCCCTGCCGGCCTCTTGAAGTCCCTTTTGTAACAGAGAAACAAGGTGTTCACAGGGGTAAGAGAGTTGGGTGTTACTTGTTAGAAAGATAAAACTAAATGGAAGGACCAAGGTCAGTGGGTCAAAAGTTTTGTGCAGGTTGAGAAACATGTTTTGCAGTTTATAACAGATCTAGAAACAGGAATTCATTCCCCATCGTGTGTGTGTGTACACATGTGTGTGCATGTGTGTCTTTTGGTTTTTCTGTTTGTTTGTTTGCTTGTTTCTCTGTATAGCCTTGGCTTCCTAGAACTTGATCTATAGACCAGGATGGCCTCAAACTCACAGAGATCTGCCTGCCTCTGTCTCCTGAGTGCTGAGATTAAAGGTGTGAGTCACCAGGCTCAGAACTTATTCTTAATTACAAATAGAAAACTTAACTTGCAAGGACTTAACACAGGACAAAGGGGAACTTATTCTTTAAATATAAGCAGAAACTTTAACCTGCAAAATATATTGTCCCCATTTTGGTCTCCCATTAACTTGCAAGGTATATTGTTCCTGTTTTGGTCTCACAATACCACAAAGTATGGAGCAACTGGAGCAATTGGAACGAACGAGTGAGGAGGAGGAAGAGTTGAGAGGGGGACGGATGAGGGAGTAATGGAAGTTTGATATAATCACAATACATTGTATCAATGTATGAAATTATAAAAACCTTTAAAATATGCATTTTAAAGTGGGCAGTTGATGTAGAAGGTTCTTCAGTAGGCTGTGAATATGTGTTTCTCTCATTGGTTGATGAGTAAAACCATTTCAGCCAATGGCCAAGCAGAATGGGTCAGGCAAAGATCTAAAGACAGCGAGAGAAAGAAGGTGAAGTCAGGGAGATGCCATGTAACCACTGAAGGAGTAACAGGCCAGAGCAGCACCGGTAAACCACAGCCATGTGGCAATACACAGATTAGTAGAAATGGGTTCATTTAATTATGAGAGCTAGTCAGTAATTTGTCTAAGTCACTGGTCAAACAATTACAATTAATATTAAGTCTCTGAGTTGTTATCTTTTAAATGGCTGCAGGGAGCAGAGGGCAGAGAGAAGCCAGCAGGCCCAGGTGAAACAGAGAAAAAGTCTTCATTTACAGGGGGTGGTGGCATGCACCTTTAATCCCAGCACTCAGGAGGCAGGGCAGGTGGATCTTTGTGAGTTTGAGGCCAGCCTGGTCTACAGAGTTAGTTCCAGGACAGATAGGGCTGTTTCACAGAGAAACAGAGAAACCCTACCTCGAAAAACCAAAAAGAAAAGCTTTTCCTCTGCTAATTTCATATTGCTAGCCTTTCTTAATATTTTCTTGACTAACCTCTCAGTTGTCAAAAATTTGCTGCTTCTTCACAATTTCCAAAAATATTGAATGACTATTGAACACTGTGAATATCACGTTGCTGCCTGAGTTGTATTGTCTGTCCTTTAAGAACATTGAAATCTAGCAGACATCTAGACATCTAAACTCTCCAATCTACCTGAGATTATTTTTCTTTGTGTGACCTGTCCCTGGATACCAGCGGCAGAGTTTGTAAAATCTGTGCTGATTGCTAACTGACCAAGCAGGGCATCCTGCCTGGTTGGATTTCATCTATGACTGTGTGACCTCTAAGAATTGTTTAATTTCTAATAGTCTGGCATCCATTTTACCTAGCATCCTGGAAATGCCTGTGGAAATCAGCATTCACCCAAAGATTAAGTGGAGTCACTATACAAATTTTTGTAACTATTTCTTTGCATATTTATAACCCATGATCCATGAATCACCAATCTTCCAGAACAGAGAGCTTTTAATTAATATTTAGACTTTGCAGGCCACACGTAGTCCCAACTCCATTCTTTTTTAAAAGACAACCTTCTCGGGGCTGAGGAGATGACTAAACACTTGCCATGAAGTGCAAGGACCCTAGCGCAATCCCTAGAACCCATGTAAGAAAACAGATACTCTGGTGCATGCCTATAATCCCAAACCTTCAGAGACAGAGGCAGGAGAGCCTCTCAGGATTGCTGGCCAGCCAATCTAACAAATTGGTGAGCTCCAAGTTCAAGGAGAGACTCTGTCTCAAAACACAAAGTGGAGAGTAGCTAAATAAAACACCCAATGTTGACTTCTGACCAGTGCGTGGATGCCCAAGTGCATAGACACAAACATATGCACAATAAATATTAAAATATGTCCCTTTTAAAATGTGTAAATGAAGCCAGGTGGTGGTAATACACATATTTAATGCCAGCACTAGGGAGGGAGAGGCAGGTGGATCTCTGAGTTCAAGGCCAACCTAGTCTAATAGCAAATTTCAGGACAGTCAGAGCACAGAAAAACCTTGTCTTGGAAAACACACACACACACACACACACACACACACACACAAAAACACACAAAATAATTGTAAATGAAGCTGGTATGGTGGTGCATGCCTATAACACTATCAATTGGAAGATGGAGGCAGAGAGATCAAAAGTTCAAGGTCATCCTTGGATACATGGCAAGTTGAAGGCTCCCTGGGAGTCTTTCCCAAACCAACATGTAAATATAATTCTTATCATAAGCCTGTACAGAATCAGACAATTTACTTTTCTTTCTTCCTTTTTGTTTTTCATTTTTGAAATAAGTTATCAAACTCACTCCTAATTCAAATTGGTGCTCCAACATGTGCTTGCTAAACCCACATAAAACTGAGAAAGCTTAAAAAGAAATCTAGACACAAAAGAAGAGTTAAGCATGGCTTCTTGGTAGCCAACATTTTGCTGGCAGCATGCTGCAGCTCCTTTAAAAGAAGTCTTCCTGATTCAACGATAGCAAACAAAAAAAAAAAAAAAGAAAAAGAAAAGAAAAGAAAAAGCCCTGTGGTTTGAAAACAGCAGCTTTCTGGGCTGCGCTGCCAGCACTAACTCTGGATCTTGGTAGCAGCATGGACCAACTGGTTATCAGAACTGGGGTGGTGAGGATGGCTCCCACCCGGCAGTCTCAGAGGCAGTGAACGGACCTCCGCTGTGATGAACTGGGCAGAGTCAAGAGGCAAAGCAGCCTTAGTCCTAGCCAAGCTGCTTTAGCATTTTAAGAAACAGTCCTGGTCAGAAAAGGATTACAGAGGCACAGTAGGACAGTATCAGACTTAAAAGACCTCTAAACAAGACATACTGTGTTTAAAAAATATATGTAGGCTTGGGAGAGAGAAGAAAAAGACTATAAAGAGTTATAAAAAGAAGTAAATAGTTTATAAAAATAAAACAAAGTCTTTAAAGAGACAGAGTACAGACAGTCATAGATTAAAAGGAGTAAAGAAAAATAAGCCGTGTAAAGATGGAAAATACACAGAGAATCTGGATTATGTTTCTTTGAATTTTTTGACTGTGAAGGAGTTGAGTACAGAGAGACATTTCATTGTATGGGCTGCTAAGATAAACTAACAAAGGTATCTTGACTTCAGAATTTGGGTCTAAGAATATGTTATTTTGGAAAAGAGGTTCTTCTTTTGTTTCCACAGAGGATTAGAACCTGCAATTTTTCCAGGCTAAAGTGGTTTGATGGACCAAGACCCCCTGG